GCGGGCCGGCAACGGCGGGGGGCGCCCGCAGTTCGGTGAATTGCAGTAACGGAGGGGCTTGTCCCGTCACCAGGTCTTGTACAGTTTAAAGAACCATTTAAACTACTTCCACAGGAAAGAAGTGGGTGACTGAGCCTGCATAAAGTATTTGGAGGAGGAGGATGTGAGCAAGACAACCAGGAATTGAGGGTTACGCAGGTGGAAAGGGATTCGGAAGGGAAAATACATAGGGAGAAACTAGGTAATAGTGAGAGAATGAAAAGTGGCGCTGGCTAGTATTAAATCAGTCTACTGGGGAGAATGGGGTGAAGCCCAAGAGCTGAGGAGCCCAAGAAGCTGGATGGAAGGGTGTGGGACTGGAGAACTTGAAAGGCACGGGTTTCATGAGAAATTCTGCTGGGAACAGCCGTTGAGGGGACTGAGTCATGAAACCCAAAGAGCTTTCCCCCAGTCGGATGAGTAATATGAGATAAATGGGACCAAATGGACTCTTGACAGTCCTTGCCTCACTATCTTGCAATTGAAATGACTGAAACAAGCACATTCCCAATGGGAATAAAGAGTCTGCATGAGAAAAAGGCAGGAGAGAGGCGGTGAAGTATACAGAACAGATGACATTAAACATCATCTTTTTTCCTGAAACATCACACATTCAAAACTGCTAAAGATCTTGAATTAACCAGAGGCCTGACATCAGCATATTTTTTTCCTTCATCAGTACAACTGTCTCCTCCCCTTCAGTTATTTTCTGTGCTGATGAAAGAGCAGAGATCTTTATGTTTCAAACGTGCATATCACTGGGATGCATTGCTTTTTTTATCTGATAATGCACATGATTAGGACTATGACACAAAACACATGTTTAGAACCATAAAAACCTCAGAAGGCAATGACTTCTTGTCTTAAGATCATTTTTCAGTCATAATTTTTGACCCTTTTAGCATACTTATAGTACAGTCAACAAGATATCCTCCCAAAAGGAAACTTGGGACCAAGTTTCTCTACCAAGTGTAGTGGAAGTGGCTGTCCTAAAGTCTGTATATTCTGTGTTTTAGAAGATAGCAGGCTGATGGTGATCAAAGCTTTAGGGAAGAGAACAGCTGATCCCTAAATTGAGTCAGTTCTGATTCACACTATATTTGCCACACAGTTGCAGGGTGATACTGGGCAAATCACTAAAGCAAGCTTTCACATCTGATTACCAGTCTGAACTCTTTATCTTACGGCTGGTTTATTCAAGGCATTATGATTTAGTTTACAGAAGCATTGATTCTTGCACCTACAAATCAGTAGGAGACGTGTGCTGAACCAGCACAAGATATACAAAATACCTGGTCTTTGGCATCCCTCAATTGGCACTGGGAATAAATGGACACTGTCCACCCTAATCTTGTTGTACTTCAGTTCTAGTCTGTAGGGACAGAGGAGGGAGGAGTGTACACTCTGTAAATTGAGGGCAGAGAAGGGGAGAAATAATTCTCTCTCAGCCTGCTGAGAGGTGTGTAAAAGTAAACAATTACTTTAAAAAGCTTTCACACTCTTGTAAAAAGCACAAGGGAGAGCCTCAGGACAGAAATTAATAAATCTGTTGTCAGAGTAGCAGTCGAAAAGTATGTGGTGCACAAAGCCTGGTGTGGCACGCAAAACCGTGAGAATAAACGAATACTTAGCCCATGGGCCCAGTAGTCCCATGTCATCTTGGCCTAGGGCCGTCAGTCCTGCCTCAGTCCTGCTGTAGGAGTGCTGGTCTATACCTCAGTCTCCTGGCCTGCCTGGCTGACATTGCAGCTTGACCTCAGACCTGCCTCATCATTGTAATCTGTGGGCTGAGGCCACAGCTGAACCCATTCCCACTTGGTTTGTAGATTTCAGTCGAAAGTTCTCACCAATTCGCATTCACTCCCATTGTGAGAGGCACATCTTGTATCTGGATCCAGTTGCTTTTCTCCAGCAGATCAGAGAGCATAATGAACAGAGGCTTCATGTCCTGACCTACAGTTCAGGCTTACGGCACCTTGGAAAGAAATTCTTGTGCACCATTGCTCTTGGAAGTGAAGGTCAATTGGGCCTGCTCTTTGTGGATAGATGGCGTTAAATACCTCAAAGGAATGAGCATGGCGGGGAGAGACTGAGAGCACACCACCAACCTCAGAAAAGCACCTGGTATTCTGAAATGCTGGTAAAGATGAAAATATCTGAGAAGCTTAAGCTGGCCATATTTCTGTCCACCACTCAAAGATACTTGTCAGTGTTGCAAGGCAGTACAGCGTAGAATTCTGGTAGATGTCTTCCTTGTTCTGCATCTTTAAAGTGCAGTTTGGGATCATAGAATCATAGAATCACAGAATGGTTTGGGTTGGAAGGGTCCTTAAAGATCATCTAGTTCCAACCCCC